TCCGGGGCGCTGTTCCGGCGGCAGGAGCACGTGCGGAGGTCCCTGCCGGAGCTGGCGCAGCACAAGGTGGGTCCCGGGCGAGGGGAGCGGGAGGACGCGGGCAGGACGGGGACCGCCGCGGGCAGCCCCGCGGGGACGGGGCGGCTCATCAAATTCACCCGCAAAACGGGAGCGCTGGGTCCTGCCACCGAGCTGGAGCACAGAGCAACGAGCGGCGTGTCTGGAACGTGGGAAGCACAAGGGAGGGGATCGGTCTGATTCACGTGCCCTGCGCCGCGGGGGTCTCATTTCATCCATAAAACAAGGCAGGGAGGGCGAAGGAGCCCGCTGGAAGCGCGGCGGGATGATGGATCCGTCCTCCTCCTCCCTTCCCTGCCTGTCACAATCCATTAGGAGCGACATTTTCTGGAGAGATGCTGCTCCATGCCCATGCTGACACGCTGTCAGGCCCCGTTTGTCACCTTGGCTTTACCGCCCGTGCTTCCAAATTAACCTGGGCTGTGACACTTTATTATTCCATTTTTTATTAACACTTTTTTATATGTGTCTGCCTGCGGGGTGGGTGTAGAGGTGTGGGTGTAGGGATAGCGGGAGCGGCTGCCGTCTCTCTGGGATGCAGCAGGTTTTTTGTAATAGCATTCCTGAGCTGTTGCTTGCTTTGGTTTAATCAGAACTGCCCCAATTTAGGGAATATGCCCAGAACAGAAGGAAATTGAGGAAATTGTGTGACAAGTCATGCAGAGGGACGAGCTCGGTTTGCAGCACGGAGCGGTTCGCGGCGGGGCTGGGGTGCGGATGGAGCCCGGCAGGAGCTGTTGGAGCCTCTCCGAGGCAGCCGAGTTCATGTCCTGGCTCTTGAACCCCTTTTCAGCCCAAATTGCTGCTGCCCTTCGCTTTCTTCCTGCGAGAAGCAGGTCACGGCTTCCTGCGGCCGCCCAGGGCAGCCTCACAGCCGCAGATGCCTTCGGGTTTTGATGCCTTCCCCTCCAAGCCAGTCCCCGCTGGGCAGCAATTGCCCTCAAAGGCCAGAAGAAGGTCCCGCTGCTCCCTGGGGACAGCGTGTTCCACGGTGACACAGCCGCGGGGCCCTGCCCCGTGCTGCTCCGCTGCCTCCTCCCTTTCCCGGCGTTAGGAAGCGTTTCCTGATGCTTGCCCTGTGTTTCTGTGCTGCTGTTTGAGTCCATTTCTTTTTGCCCAGACCATGGGCACCTCCAGCTTCGCAAACAGGTCTCTGGTTCCTGCCTTGGTGCTGTGATGTGGAAGAGCTGGGAGAAAACGAGAGGTCGTTGCCACTGCTGAAACAGCAGACCCGAGGCTGCTGTCGTGACTGTCCTTCAGCTCCGGTTCTCCCGAGGCCTCGGGATCGTGTTTGGGAGCACGTTCTCCTGCCAGGCCCCACTCGTAACGCTCGGGCTGGACTCAGCCTGGTGGATGCCCCGTGGATAACCCACCACGAGCCCCTCTGCTCCTCGTCCTGCTCCCGGTCTCGTGCACTGCTGTCCCCGGGAGCAGCCCGGGCCTGTCGGGCCAAAGCCCCATGGAGGGGGATGGCCCCGGTGAGGCCGTGGTCACCGCGGCACGGCCCGTTAACGGGGCTGCTCTGCCGTGGGTTTGTGACAGGGCGCTGGACGGGAGGGTGGCAGCAGGGCTGCGCTCTGCAAGCGCTGCCAGGTTTCATCTGGATCAGCACGGAGGCACTAGGCAGGTGTGTTTTCTTCTTTTCCATTCCAAAGAATTAACAGGAACGTTCTGCGTAGATCCTTTCTCGTGTAGTTTAGTCCCAGGATGTGATGTATGGAAGGAGACAAGGTTTATTAGGGGTTTCCAGCGTGCCTTGGCCTGCGCAGCAGCTCCAGCTCTGCAGGAGTCTGCCAGCCAGACACGCAGCCTTTGACACTCCCCAAGGGCTTAAACACAGGAAAAACTGGGAGGGAAGGGGCGGAAAAAGGTTGTGTGAGAAGGTCACCTCCATGCCTTAAAACAAACGACATGGTTTGATGTTTGAATCTGAAGAAAGGACATCAGGAGAAGAGGCCAGGTGCTCCAGGGAAAGACTCTTTTTCCTAATTAAGGGCGTGAAAATCCCTGGAAGTGCTGGGAATGAGCATCCCTGGCTCTGATACAGGATAACGGTTAAACTTTGGTGTTGAGGAGCTCCAGGGCCAGCGGAAGCTGCTGTTGTACCAGCGTGGCCTGGTCGTTTCCAGCACTTCTCTGCAGAACTCGGTCCAGCTGCGAGCCGACGGTCCTGCCGTGCCGCGGGAGGAGCGGGATGGAGCTGCCCGGCCGGGATCCCCTCCCTTGGGGGCTCAGACCTTCCTCCCCCGGGGAGGCAGAGGAGCGCCGCGCTGTGCCGCACGCGACGGAGCAACGTGACGCCGAGTCCCCAAAGCCATGGGGAGACAGGGGAGAAGCTGCTCCCTCCGCAGCCACCTCGGCCAGCAGAGCGGGCTCGTGGCAACCGTGGGGCCCTGCAGGATGGGGCTGGATTTGGGGGTGGATTTTGGGGCTGGGAGCCCTGGCCCCTCTGCTGCGCAGCGCCGCCCAGGGCGCTGCGTGCAGAGACTTGTTCCCTTGTCACTGGGAGCTGCGTGGTGGCGTATCCCAGTGCAGGGTGGGAGGGATTTTGGAGGCAGTCCAAGCTCTTACTGACCTCCTTCAGGCACAACAAGAGGCCCTTGGATTTCTCCTGACCTGTAACTGGAGTCAGCAGAATAGGCCTGAGAACTGGCCCCCATGAGAACGCATTTCAAAGAGAGCCTGGAGCGCTCGGGGACTCTCTCAGAAGTTACCTGTCGAGCTACCCGCTGAGCTGCCTTTCCATCGTTTTGTGTGGGTGCCTTCCCTTTCCGTGGAGCTGCCGTGCAGTTATCCATGTGTCTGAAGCAGCCGCGGGTCGTCCTGCTGGAGCCCGTGTGAGGCTCCCTCGATCCCTGGAAGGGGAGGCCCCCAGCGTGGTCCTGTTATTAAACACTGCCCCAGAGGATGGGGCATCCCGCAGTTGTGTCCCAGTGCGATTCCCAGGGAAAAGCAGCCGCATCCCTTGTTTGGGCAGGGTGTCCCGGGGGCAGCGCGTGCGCCGCGGTCTCACTCCCTCTCTGCTCTGCTTTCAGTCCGACATGCAGAACTGGGAGGAGCAGAGCCAAGGAGCCATCTACACGGTGGAGTACGCGTGCAGGTACCGCGGGGCTCCCCGGATAACGCCTCCCTGCGAGGAGCTTCTCCCAGCAGCCTGGCCGCTTCCCCTGGGATTGGGAAAACGGGGTGGGAAACCTGCCCACTGCCTGCAATAGAGCAACCCACCGGCTGAGGGTGCAAAACACTGTCAAGAGGCCTCCTAAGAGCACCCTCATTTTTGGGGTGGGCGCATGCAAAGTGATGCCCGTGGCAGCACTAACCAGCCCTTCTCCCTTCCTCTCTGTTTCAGTGCCATAAAGAACATGACTGACAGCAGCGTGTATTTCAAGAGCATCGACAGCCTGCTCAAGCACGCCATCGCCATGAAGGAGCAGCTCAACTCCGCGCAGGGCCGCAGGTAGCGGGGGCCGCCCCATCCCGTTGTGACCCTCTGCCGTAACCCAGCCCAGCAGCCGTCTCGGCAATGCAGTTCCACGCTCGTTTAGATCGTGTGCTGCTTGCTTGCCAGTGACTCCCTGCTTGTGCTTACCTTGGGAAGCGATAATCATGTTTGCAAAAGGATAACTACAAAATAATTTATTTTCTATTTATAAAGGCATGTTTGGTTGTGTGTGTAATACACTAGATGTCTGCCTTGTCAAGGGCAGCTGGGGTAGGAGAGGGGCTGCACTTGGTGCTGTTCTGTTGTGGTGGCTCTGGGGAGAGTCCTGGAAAGCTCTGGAGAGACGCGGTGCTGACAGATGTCGCAGGGATGATGCACTTTCATGTGTTAGCCATTGAGCTACAGCTACTAAAACACTTGCTAGCAGATGGGCTGAGTCTGTGTGTTTGTCTCTCCCGAGAGCTTTCTTGGTGTTGGAGTCTGACTGTGTGGGAGTGAGAACTCCCAAATGCCTGAATGTCCCTCTCAGATAAAGCACCGCTGCAAACAGGGCGCCTCCATCTCCAGACGGAGCCGTTCCGCAGGGAGCCGTGGCACAAGCTCCCTGTTTTCCCGGCTGTGCCTGTGGCAGGGCCGGGCTCGCCGCAGCCCGGTGGCTCTGCTGGTGGCTCTGCTGGTGGCTCTGCTGGTGGCTCTGCTGGTGGCTCTGCTGGCTGCACTGGCACGCGCCGCTTCCCAGCCCATGCGCCCGTGGCTCCTGCCCATCAACCCGTGGCTCCTGCACCGCAAACAGCTCCCGTGCTGCAAACAGGGAGGCTGAATCTGAGGGAGCCCTCAGTTCCTGACGCTCCCACGGCTACCAGGGTCCCTTCTGCCTGCTGGACGTGACTGTCTCTCTCTCTTTACAGCTCTGTTGCCCAACAAGCCAAGAATCCTCCAGCCACTTCCTGATTTTGGACAAGACTGGACCCCTCTGCCTTGGCTCTGCGTTCTCCAGCCGCCTGCGGGAGGGAGGAACCTGCTCAGTCTGGGAAACTGCCCGGGTGCCTCTGCCTCTCCCTGTGGAATGCCAAGGGCTTGTACCTGGGCAGGCAGATCCTGCTGCGGGGTGAGAACTGCCTGGGGGGTGTTTTAGGGAAAAATTGGGTCCCTCGTTAGAGCACTTTGCAAAAGGGAGAGGAGATTGTTCTGCATTTGTCCTATCTTGTTCTTTTTTTTTTTTTTTTCCTCCTCATGACAGACTGGTATGAGTCACTCTTCTGTCTACCTCTTGGTTACAGAAACATTTTAGAAAAAAACTAGGTCTTGCTTTCAGTATTCTGTAAGTCCTTCTGTTGAGGGCTATATAAAAGGACTTGAAGTGGGCACACTTCAGCCTTGTTCAGGAGGCATTCTGCAAGGAGAGCTTTTTCATGCATTTGCCAGAGTTGCTGAGTTTGGTTTGAGGGAGAATAATAAAAAGAAAAGCACGAAAGTTCTGTCTAAAGCTTTCCCCTCTTGCTCGCTTGGGCTGGGGGGCCTTGGAGCCTGCTGCCCGTGTGTTTCAAAGGGAGCAAAACAAAGACATGCAGATTCAGAGCTTTTTCAAAGGCAAAAGAAATGGCCCTGTGCTCCCTAAAAAATAAAAGGCTGTTCTTCATCCCCTGTCAAACAGTGGCAAGCAGAGTTGCACGCGTAGCTTTGGAGATCACCTTAGAGGGATTGGAGCTTAGACGTTAATCTTGGGGCCCAAGACAGAAGGCCGAGCGTTCCCGGGTTTCAGTGGAGGTTGCGTCTCTGCAGTAAAGGTGAAGAGCATCAGGCCGTGGCTGCACAGACCAGGGCTCTGCCTGCTCTGAGCTCCCCAGGAGGGCGATTTAACCAGACTGGGGAGAGAACCAAAGTCTCTCGGGGACGGTGGAGGACGGCAAAGCAGCCATCCCCTTTTGAGGCCCCTCAACTTGTGGGTGCTGCTGTGACCTGTTTAAGCAGAAACGCAGGTCCTGGCCCCGCTGTGATGAGCTGGGGCAGACGGCCCCGTTCCTGCTCACACCAGCGTGGAATCCTTCCCCGAGGCCGCGGGTCTGCGGGATGACAGGACATTCCTCATCTCCTGCGCGACGCCGTTCCAGGGCTGGCCCTGCA